AATGTAAAATTGTGTTTCCAACTATTCTACCTGATCCAGTTGCGACGATGCAAGCTATTCATGAAGAAAAATGTACAGCACTCATTGGTGCACCAATTATTTTTCGAGATATTTTAACACATTCAGATCGAAAAAAATATGATTTAAGTTCATTAAGTCTTGGTGTCATTGCTGCAAGTCCCATGCATTATGATTTTTTTAGGTCAAGTAGAAAAAGAAATTCCAATACAACGTATTGTGCAAGCTTATGGACTGACAGAAAGTTCTGGCTTACTTACAAGTGGTCTGTGGGCTGGTGACGGTGATCCAAAACGTCGACTAGGATCACTTGGACGATGTATGTAACGTATAGAAATCAAAGTTGCTGATCGAGATGGAAATGCCGTACCTATTGGACAACAAGATGAAATTTGGGCAAGAGGTTATCCGACTATGGCTGGATATTATGGTGATCCAGAAAAAATACAAGAAACAATTACACCATTATGCTAGCTTCGAACAGGTGATCAAGCAACAATGGATGAAGATGGTTATCTTTATTTTATAGGATGTGAAAAAGAAATAATTATCCGTGATGGTGTTAATATTTATCCTGTAGAAATCAAAAAAAACAATTGTTGAACATCCAAGTGTTGCTGAAGCACAAGTTTTTTCTATTCCGGACGAACGTCATGATGAAGAAATATGCGCATGGATTAAGTTGAAACTGAATGCATCTCCATGTCAAGCAGAAGATATTAAAAAATTTCTTGCAGACAAATTAGCATTTTTTAATATACCAAAACATATTCGATTCGTTGATCAGTTTATTACGACAACGACAGGAAAAGTTCAAAGGTTTAAATTATATCAAGTAATGGCTAATGAATTGAAGGAAGCAAAAAAATAATCCATAGACTTATTTTTATTTTCATTTTATTTAGCAAATATAGTTTGATGACTTTTTGCAGTTTATTAAGAACAAATATAGATCATCAATTGAAATATTATTTGAAAAAAAAACAGAAAAAAGATTATTGACGCACTGCCGATGCTGATAAACAATAAAGCTTGTATAAAAACAAAGTAAAATAGGATGATTGTTAGTATCTTCTTCAGACTTATACATACACTCATCTATACCTCTATTATGGAGATCATCATTATCAAATGATTCAAGCGATATTTCGTTTATTTTTCTTGAAAGTTCTGATGTTCTTAAAAATAATTACATTCTAGAGAAAAAAAAACGTTTCATCAAATTAATGTAAGTTTGTTATGAGAGAATTAACTGAAGTTGTAGGTTTGAGTGTGTATGAAAGTGAACTTACATGTACACCCTCATATTTTTATTGTAATAATCGTCATATACAAAAAATTATTGATTCAAGAAATAGTGTTGATTGTAAATGGTTATTATCTAAAACAAATAAATTAGCAAATATTCAACAAACAGAAACAATTATGGCTCGTAATTTAATGATTGAATATGTTAATTGTTTTGAAACATCAACAACCAATTTATCAACAGTTATGAATACAATTCAGGTTCGATTTAATAAAAAAATATTGAATAATTGAGGTGTGAGTGTTAGTGTTGGTATCAACTAATTTTATGTTCAATTTCACGCCCTTATCCATATCCTCTTTGCAAACACTAACAGTCACTGCAAAAAGTATTCAAACATTTGCTTTTGTGTTCATGTTTCATAATTTTTAAAATAGAAACAAGAAAATACTCTTTTTTCTCATCAATAAATACAGAAAAAGATTCTTCTGTCTTTCATATAAGGATATTTACCTCTCCGACATCAGTATTGTATCATATGCACACTTCTTGAATGAACACAACGAGCTGATATTCTTACAATTCTGAATGAAGAAGAATAACTTCTGGAATGTAAATTATTTAAGAAAAACGACCCGATCCTTTGAACACTTTTAATATGAGTGTAAGAATGAAAAACCATCATTAGTCTGGATGTTATCTTCAGTTACACATCTTGATTTTGAAAAACTATGATGACTGTTTACTCATACTATCGTATTGACGATGCTTTATTCTGCTCGTTCTTAAAATTATACATACTGCTAATTTGATATCGGAAAATAAGCACTTTTGCATTAAAGATAGGAGCAACTTGTTCGAAATATATTAAGAAATCGACCGTCTTCATGAAGAAATGTTCCATAATTCGAAATGATAGTCAATGCTGTTCATTTTTATCAAGACCATGGACGAAGTGAAAATTATCTATTGTTAAAATAATGATCTCTTATTTTGGTTCAGAAACTTTGCCCAAGGCAAAGCAGATCATGAAGGTTCATCTAGATTTATCATGGCTATCTTGGAAAAAAAACCAAAATTGACTACTAATATATTCATTTTGTGAATTAAAAAGCTGAGAAATGGAAGAAATATAAATGCTATTCTTTGTTAGTTATCATCAATCAGGAAAATCAATGAATGCTATTTTTCATTCACTTGTTTCATTATTGAATATGTTACGAGGAATGTGATTCGATAAGGTTGATATTCAGTTAGAAATTGGTTTGATTTGACTTTGGTGTCTAATTAGAACTAGAGTTGAACTTGTCGGTCTTAGTTTGCAAAGAAAATATGTCTTTAGTTTTATTTTGATATTTTGAAATGCATTAATTCAGCATTTCAACAAATCATTCATTGATGAAACGGAAAAAAGAAATTTTATGACTAAAATCTAATTAATAGTAATTTGAAATGTTCGAACTTGCATCGGATGGAGAGTAATTTTTGTCCCATTCGATAAATGTGTTTCTAAAAAGTAATAAAGGTACGTAGTCTATCATTCGAGACATTTATCAATGAAATTTAACTTACGGAACATGTTCACATGTGACGATTCTTGATCTTTTGTCATCCAATCAAGTCGATGCAGCTGAGATAGTGGTAAATTGGCATTTAACACTAATTCAGTCATATCAACAATGGTACCAATGCTTTTAAACAATGTTTGAAGGTCCATCGTCACCGGTTGTGAATACATTTCATCCTCGTTTAATTCAAAATAATGTTCAACACGCACTAGATATTGCTTAGGAGTTAATTTATCGAATGTTAATAGATGTACATTTAGTGGCATCATATCTGAGAGAGCTGACCAACTTTGACGATATATATTCGAATAGTTCGCATAGGATGGTGTATTTGGCAAGGAATAGGTAGCTAGAGGATGCATAAACAATTGCTGAGCACCAACTCGATGTAGTCGAGCACTATCTTCTGGTCGTTCGACAAGAAGAATATGTTTGCCAGAGACAACAAGACCTTTACCATAGGCAGTCTCATTTAAAACTTCATCAACACCCATTGAATCATCATGCAGTATCCGACGATGAACCATAATTTCAATTGAACCATCGTACATACTACCACCACCTTCGGATCTATCTAAAAAGGAGATATTGAAAACGACGTTATTTTTACTAATGGAAACCATTCATTGGAAAAATTTTTTTTACCAGTAAGAATAGTTAATTGACGATCATGATCTCGAATCCAAATACGACTATTAATTGGATAATAATTGCCACTAATCCTTTCATCAACGAAGTAAGGCCATGTTGGTCGATGGTCGCGAATGCGTTCGAGAACTTCACGTCCATTAGCGTCAGTATAATATTTCGATCCGCTATTAATATTAGTGTTATAACGAATAACAATCTCTTTACCAATATTGTCATGAATCGGAATCGGTCCAACTGTCCATTCGAGTTCAACTGATGTTGCTCCATGGTACAGAGTGAATTCTTGACTAACCCAGTCATTGAAAACAATCGATGCTTTTTGTACGGTATCTGTTTTTGTACAATTTCTAGACAAAGTTGTTTTCATAAATGAAAAAATGATCGACAAAATTTATCGAACAAAATTTACTCACATGCTACCTGAAAGACTCACGGGTACTGCTTCCGAAACAAACGGCCGGAAGACATAAGCACCTGATGCTGGTAGTTCTGGAGTAGTTGGATCACCAGGAAAACCTTGAACAAAGCGTAAGAAAATATTGGGCATCTTTGAATAAATCTTAATCAAAGCTATTAGCAATTAGTTAAAACATTTCGTCGAAATCCGTTTCGATTTTCACTAGAATATAATCGCTGTTGAAAAGACTTTATTTTGTTGAAAGAGTTCGTTTTTAAAAGTTTCTTATTTCAATCGAAACTATTATGAAATAATACTTACTTGCATACCAGTAGAAACCCTGTGCAGTAAACGATACCATTAAGCTCTTGTCCAAATTGACAATATGTTTTAAATGGCCTTGATCATCGAATTCCATGCTCAAGTGCTACAAGTGATAAACAATCTATCAGTATTAGTATGTGAAACATATCTCCTACTTCATTTTCCAGGATGCATGCTTCATTAGATGTTATTTTCACTTGCTTGTGCTTGATTTTATCCGCATCAGCTATTAGAAATAAACAAAACCTCATGATAATATACTATTATTTCATTGAGTCTTTTTAATTTGAACAAAATAAGTGAAAATTTTAGTAGAAATACTTCTCGCTTCGAAATAATAGGTATTGTAACCAAGTGCTGGTAATGATGCTTGAAATAGATGCTGATATCGAGCAGAACTTGTTCGACCAGGAATATTTTGTGTCGCTATCGAAATCGGAAGATACTGTAGCAAAGAAAAGAAAATCATTTTTTTTTGTTCCTTTATGTATGGTCGATTTTCTACTTCAGCTGGAACAATATTTCCAATCGGATCATAAATGACATATTCTTGAGTGACCGGTACACGAGGATAAATTGTTATAGGATGAATGGTTGGATTCCAGAGTGTCAATGTGAACTATAAAAAGAAGCAAGACAATCTCGTATGTGTTATTTGAAAATAAAGTTATCACGGCAAATCAGATTATGATTGATTATAATTATCTTTGAGCTGATTATTTATGTGAGTGCTGTACATACTTTTGCTTCTCCTTCAATAGGTAGACATTCGCTAATATTTGTATATGGACAAAGAAACTGAGGAACACTTAACGGCGTTTGACCTTCTCTAGGTAATAGTTTCGCATAGGCAGCATTAATGACTTCCTAAAGAATACTCATTGCATAACGTCTAATTTAAGCCTTAATCAGTACCATTGAACGGTCGATACCGTCAGACAATCGTTGAGCATAGTCATCAGCTACATGTTGTTTTTCTGTTCCACTAACAGCATCATGATGTTGGGCAATACCCATCGCTTCATCTACAAAATGCGACTATTAATCGGTAAAGTAAATGAGTGTATGAGTTTCTTACTTAGATAGAAAATGCTACTTCGTAGATTCATCTGTGAAAACCCGTTGAGTTGACGCGTTACTTGAAGAATATTATTCGCGTAACGTTCGTAACGTTTTAGTGCTGGTCTTGAAGTAAAATAGCCAGTCCAGTATGCAAATTGGATACTGGCATACGGAAAGAAATCATCGGCTTTTGTTGTCCACTCTTTCTCGGCCTTATTCAAGGCATATAAATAACATGATGGTGTCGAATAAAAGATATTGACATGGCTACCATTCTCTTGCTGATGATATAATTTTGAGTGAAATCAATCAAATATGAGAAAACGACATACCTCGAGGTTTACATAATGAATTAATTTGTCCAAATTTTTGAATTTCTCATTGGCATTCTGATCCTGAAAATCACCACCCATCGTCATTATAATATGATTGGTTGCGTATGCCAGAGACTAAAGAGGAGGAATACGAAAGTTGCAAGAAAGCTGTCTTTCAACCGCTTTTTCCTAACAAACTTGTATGTATGCTGCTCTGATGAATGCTTCAACACGTTCTGGCACATTGTAGTCATGCAAATTTTTATCGTCCTAGAATTATTCGCTTTGCAGAGAGCATATAGACTTGATATATGCTGACAAACCATGATCGGTTGATCTGAACACAATATGTCATAGCAAAACGATAACGGTGCGCTGTATCCATGTGGTAAAACACCCGTAAAGAGCCAACTCTGACGATCTGCAAATGTATCAATGTGAAATTTTCAAGATTTAGATGAAAGTACATTATAAATTGATATTTCTCAGGAAATATGTGATTGAATTTGCAATAATTTCAAAGACACTCACCTAAGTTAGCACTTCCTTTCCATATCATTTCCAACTTTTTTTCAGGAGTTCTGTATAATCGATCCTGATAATCAATACGCCCAAAAAATAAACCATCGAAGCCCATCTACGAAGAAATAATATTTACATCGAGTACAAATCTCTTCAAACAAATTCAACTTGTGCAAAAAGTGAAGCAACTTCTCGTGAATGGCCAAATGGGTCTATTTGCCAGCCAATTTTCGGTCGAGCACATTCACCGAATGTGTCACGCAAGAATTCGGCACCTAAGCTGTGTTGATCAATAATCGAATTGTAATGTGTTGCTGCCTCATCATGCATAGACCAACCACCGGAAATAAATTCCAGGCGACCTATTCAAATTTAGAATTATGATATTCATAAGAAAAATATTGCATACTAATAAGTAAATGACTACTCATTCATGCCTTTCTCAAATACTGTTTGCAGAACAGATAGTTTTCTTTTGTCGAACATACTTTCTAATATTTCGAAAACGACTTTATAACTAGTTCACATTCAGTTAATACGAACCTTCATTAACAAGTTGCTTGACGGTGTTGCGTATTTCGTCCGATTGCTGGTTCCACCAACGCCAAAAGAAAGCCATTTCGACATAGATAAATCGACGATCAGGATTTTCTGTAAGTGCTTGCACCACTGAATCGAGAATATATTGAACACCTCGATTAACTATTTCACTACGTGCTAAATGATTAATTCATCAAATTATTCATTGTTACCACATGAATTTAATTGTTACTCACATCCATAATAATATTGGTCGACTGTTTTTAGCCAACCAACGTCGTCATGTGTATTAGCTACGATATGAACGTTGAGTTTGCCGGGTTTACCCAAATTGCATGACTAAAATATATATATGTGCATCTATTTGGAATATTCTGTATGGACAAACTCTTCTTTACATCATAACCACAACCGTTTGGTGATTTGTATGGTGCTGCAAGAGCTTGTGACACAATGAAAAGAAGAATTATGTAAGATTTAGCCATCTATATAGCCTACAAATATCAGTAATATAACCCTAGACAAAGTGATGGTAGCCAGTTTCTTACTTTCACATGTTTTTGTCTCAAGAATACTAAGCACCTTTGTGTGTTTGTGTGAATTTAAAATAAAAGATAAGAATTTTGTTAGCGCAGTAACCCATCCTTGTTACTGAAAGGTAGACAAAGAGTGATGATAACAGGGACTCTGTCCGAATTCTATAATAACATTCTCTTGATATTACTCATTTAATCAAATAGAAAACAAAGTTTTGCTTCTTTCATATGTATTTTGCTTCATAATAGATTGAAGAATTCTATATTGTTTATTTCTTTGACAAATTATGTACTGTCGAGTGATATACATCTATATTTTGAAAAAAAATTAAAACGGTGGTTTCCTTTTGCCTCCAATTTCGGGTGTGAATGTGGGCGAGGGTGGGTATGAGTGTAGATGTCAGTAGAAATAAGACTGACATCCACACCCCAACCACACCCACACCCTAAAATAATTTTATTTTTATTATATTTATTCATATTATTAAGAGCTCCATGTCGTATAGAACAGCCTGTAAACGACCGCCGTTTTCATACCGTTGGCTATCGTAGCAAAAAAGTGTCTTAAAATCATCAGTACCCACGCAGACAGACGTTAAAAAATAACCCGTTTAAACGCGTTAAGGTTTTGTAATAACGGCGTTCAAACAAAATGTTATCATAAAAACGCTGTTACCATGTGAGTTTTAAACAAATTGAAACGCGTTACTATATCCCAGTGCACTAAAATGAGTAAATTTTTCTCAGTATGTGTTTGTGAGAAACTATTTGCTGTGCCTAGATTTCTGACAAATGTATCGAACAGTACAGATTATGTACCGACTCTGTGCATAGTGTCAACTATCTGCTGAATCTGGTAGACATTGCAGAGTACCTCTTTGATTTGGAACACAGTGTAAAATGTCTGCGAAAATTTGTGAACAGTGTTTGCCAAAAATTATTAGCTTCCCGACTTTCAAAAACAATCGAGAGCTTTGATATAGCTAATTAATGTTGTTCCTTTCTCTGCTGATAAGAACAAGTTTTGTTTTGTATAAAAAAATTCAATGTTTCGCAGACTCTCAACAAGTGTATTATCACTCTATATGGGATTCATATTTACTTTGATTTGGTTGATCGATTTCATGAGTTATAATCTTCCACAAATAGCACATAGTTTTTCTCTAAAATAGTTTCTCTGTTGCTACATACACAAGATTTATTTCTATATTTATATCCTGAATTCGAGTTTTGATTTCATTAGACAAGGCATTATATTCAAATTTTTATATCGATAGAAAGATAACTCAAAATAATGGATTGATGAACTCTTGACCCTCTGCAAGTTATAACTCATGATGTAGCATCAAATTGATAGTTTAGAGATTTTGAAAATAAAATCTTCATAAAAACAAACAGAGATTTTACTCGTTCTTTTTTTTTGTTTTGATGACAAAATAATTGCAGATTCTCGTATTTTGATCAACAAATTTGCTGCATTATTTCAAACTCTCTTACGCAAGCAAACCTCTTAGATATTAATGTGCCACGTGACCAGCAGTAGCGGATGTGGTAACTGTGGATGCTATTGTTATTTGTCTTTTCACCCACACCCACATCCTTATCTATAATGCTCGAAATCGATTATAATAAATCTATTTCTTGCACTAATAATATCTGTTACTTACATATGTATTCATTATTTCTATTTTATTCTGTCAGTACACAATATTTAATCATGACTTCGATCGACCGATCGAATTATGATAACATTGTCAAATGTTTTAGAAAGAAAACGAGATATCTAACATCTCTTTTCCATATTCATGAACTATCTGTTTATTTTTGAACATCCAGCTTAGAGAAAATAATATGTCATTAATATCAAAACTACAAGAGCGAAAAATAAATTGAATTTGTATGAGAAATAGTTGTATTAGCACAGTCAGTCCATTTTGATGTTGTGCTTTTTGTTGCTCTTGATAAAGGTGCCGACTTTGACTTGATCGATTAATGTTTGCTGTTGATGAATAGCTCGAATTTCGACGGGCGTCAAGCATCGTGTGAAAGCATTGAGATCGGCTATACGAGGCATTCTAGATGCTTCTAATGTATTACTGTCAAATTTGCGAAATAATACCAAATTAATAAGAAAATGTTTCTTGTGTATTTCATAGCGGTATAGATAATATTGACTTGGTTTTGAAACATATTGTCCATCGATCCATACTCGATAATAACGATGTGAATCAATTTTGGTCAAAACAATATGCGTCCATCGATCAGCAATCGATAAGCGGTTTTTTTTGTCGAAATAATAGTTTTGATCTGCACAGAGCATGATAATCACACCATTGGCGTTCAAACTTCCAAGTTGTATATTTAATTCTGATGGATGAGGTGAAAAGAGCCAAAAGTAGAAAGAATGCGACGATTCAAAAAGTGATAAATGATAACCAAGCTCAATGAGCGTTTTATAATCACATGAACGTCTAGAGTCAGTCCAAGGTAAAAAGTGACAATCACTTAATTGAAAATTGACAGGAAATAATGATCGATTGATATTGAACGGCAACGGTAGTTTATAAACATTGTTGTAATGAGAGAAGCCATAATAATATGACTTCTGCGAGCGTTTTAACGATCGAGAAAAATATTGATTAAGAAAATATTCGTCTTCCATAATGAAAGACTGCCAACGTCTACAGACATAAGCCATATGTAAAAGATCTGTTGGCTGATCAATGTATCGACGGATATGATATAATAACTCACAGGGCAATCGATCCATTTTGTTTGTTATCGTTCGTTTTCTGGAATAAAAAATGCTATGCATACACAAGTATCAACATGTATAATATAACCTTTCATTGTCAATGATGTTATATGCATCGGACGAGCATTGTTTTCTCGGTCAATTATTGAACCATGAACGTTGATATATCAGAAAGTGCGAATCCAAAAGCAGAGAGAAATATTATTCTATTCAGATTGGTTCAAATTTTTTGATAATTTTCAGCATAAAATTAATTTTCTTCAGTCGACTATTTCACAAACAAACAACAATCGATTTGAAGAGTTTTATGAAGCTTTTGTTCTAATAACAAAAATGTACGTAACTTTGACAGTTTTCATAACGTTCATTGTTGTAGCGAAAAACATATTAATGCCATTCCAGCATTCAATCTGAAGAATACAATGTTATAATTTAATTTTGAGACATGATAAAAATATCGTAATTAGTTGTATAAAGCCTTTGTTTTATCTGAAATTATCTTTGTGTGTAAGAGAAACTGTTTCGACTCAAACGTCTTTAAAAGTTTTCCAATACAATATTTATATTTCTACATTTAAATAAATATTCAATCTTATTCAAGAAATCAACAATTCAGATTGACATGTTATTTTATTTTGCTTGACAACCTCAATTTAGTTTTCTATATGACTATAAATGAATATTGTGGATACACTTCAGTAAATCTTCTGCCAAAGAACGAACATGAATACCACATTGAGTACTCATGTTGGAAAGTCGTATTTATTGTATAAATGCATTTATTATGGCTGACTTTTGAACGATTTAATATGTGTTTTGAGACGATTGTAATGATTTAATATTAAATTTCAACTACTGGAAATTATTCTTGCATTCATTAAACAAACAATTTTAAAATAAAAAGCAAATAATAATTAAGTTCTTTCAATAAATCGATTTTATTTTATTGAAATTCTATAATTTACTGTGTGAACACAATTTGATATAAAGGATTTATCTAACGAAATTTATTCTAAAAAAAACTAACAGAATCCATAAAGAGAAAGAATGAGCATGTCTGAAGAAATGGACGAAACAAAAAGAAAACTTTCGCCCATGTAATATGAAATAAGTTTGTTGTTTTTGTTCTATAATCAATAAGTTTTCATCGTTTGACACATAACAATGCATTTCGACACGACAAGTTCACGGAAGCCATATAAAAATCCAGTTTTTCTTGTATTCAGCAACGAATGAATCTTCTTGCTGTAAATGGCTATGATCGATAAGCCAGTTACGAAGATCTTTATTCACTTCGTCTGTTAACGAACCTCGAATGCAAAAGCTACGAATGTTTTTATCTCTCCACAATGAAAGCACTTGTAGAATAAGCGAATCGATGATAATTAGTGGACCTTCCAAGTATAGAGTAAGATACAGAAGATGATAAAGCTTTCGTGCAATTGTGTCTAACTGAATTGAGTCAACTTCCTGACTATGAAAAATTTCAAGGTATACGATTCGCTTCTGCAATAATTCACATGTAGATACATCGTCGAGTGCAATATTTAAGCAATTCAAATCAATATTTAGACGCATGAGATTAGGAGCGGCTTGAATTAGATGAAATATTTCACATGTTCCATTCACGGAGAGTTGCTTCAATTGAGGTAAATGCAATACAATCGGTTGAGTTGATTGAACAGTAACTGTAGATGAAAGAGGTAATAATAAATAGTAAAATTAAAACTAAAATTGGAATGTAAAAAAAATAGATTTCTCATAAATTCAAATAGAACACAGATTTTTCTCAAAATGGAAAGTGAAAAAGGAGTTCGTTTGAGGCAACTAGTATTACAATAAAATGTAAAACATGTCGAAAGACAAAAAAAAGACATGTTTTTCTTTTTCGTCTTTGTACTTGATTGAAAGTGAACGCATCTGTATGTCGTACTAGATATTAGTAACTACTTTCTATATTGAGTGAACAAAAACTAGCAATGTAATTAAAAAGTCCAATATCTTCATGTTGATTTTGTGAAACACGGTTATATTGCGGATCGTGATTAATATTAAGAAGGTCTTTGTGTACGAAGAAAGCGATATTGTCATGTTTTCCGTTAGAGTGGCGTAGTGATTACGCTGAAAGATTTCATGAATCAGACTATTTTTTCTTTGATGATAGAACATATCTCAAAGTATTCTCTTAATTAGA